ATCATTGCAGGCTGATCTACCAGGACATGTTCCAACTGAGTTTTATACACCATGCATCTAGCTATGTATTTAATGGGAAGATTTTTCAAGGTGCTTAATAAATCACTTGTATATGCTACACAAGATTGATTAACACAAGGATGGCAAATAATCTAGATCAGAATGAAGCAAAGGCCAAGAGTCAGTGATGCTCCTCAAATCATTTGTGCAACTTGATCAGTCTGTTCAGCTTATATAGTGAACAGGAAGTCTTTTCCTTTCTTTTTTTTTTGAAACAGTCTGTTAGCATTAAGTATTAAAATAATATACTGATCAGCTATTATCTGTAAAACAAACACTTGTGGTATTTGTGAAGGGAATTAATTATCTGAGATGAAACTTGAGTTCTCAAGTTTGAGAGGCTGCCAAAATTAGCAAGCCACTGTTTGTTTGGAGACAAAGCATAAACGCCACCTGGTGGTCCTATTGGGTATTAGAGCGTTTTAAAGTTATGGCTGCCTAGAAATCACTCCAAACTAACTAAAAACATAACTTTAGGTGCCTAGTCTTAAAACACATTTTTCAGAAGTAAAGACGACGAATAAGACTGAGGGATATAGGATTAAACTTATTTTCCCTGCTTCCGTGTTTTAGGTCTCTTGCTTCTAATTCTAAAACAACAATTAAGAAGATAGAGTAAAACTATAATCACAGATTGATCTTCACCTTAAAACATAAAAATAAAATTACCTTAGAGTAGAGAGACCTGAACCGATCAGTAGCATGATCCAATTTGTTCTGGACCTCTCGGTGAGTTGAAGAAGTGTCAATGTTATCCTGGTCAGCCTTCCCACTGCCATCTCTTTTACTGCAAGATTTGGCTGCTTCTAACACTCTGTTTCCAGAAATTGTGATGTACCTCAAATCACCTTTGTGAGAAATCACATCTTCTGAGAAACTCTTCTGCCGCTTCAGCTTGGTCATTAAGCCATTTAAGTCATCGGCACCAGCCTCCAGGTTTTCAAGCTCTTGTTCTGACTGCTGCAGCCAGTGTTCAAACTCGCTGTAATCGGCATCAAACTTTTCTAACTCTTCCTGCAGAGAATGCGTTAATTTCATTTTCTTTTCCGACTCAGCCAGCGCAGTCTCGTAATGCGCTTTCAGCTCTTTCATGTTCTTTTGCAGTTTCTCTTTTTCCTCAGGAGAGAGATAGTGACCCTGTTTCTCGAGCAAGGCTTGTGCGGACTGAGTAGCCATGAGGACAGCTTGGTGCTGAGAGGTGATCCTCTCGTGCTGGGCCTACAGAAAAACAAACCGACTGTGACTTTCGAGCAGGGACGGGGTTATACCGAGGCTAGAGAGAGCTCTCTGATGCCTCAGGACCTACAGACTTAAACGTCCTACAGGCAGACAACTTGCTTCTCGTCAATCTTTTCAAGATGCACAGTATTTCCCTTTTATTGGTGAATTTCAGAATAGCAAAAGCTACATTTTGAGCACTCTAATCTTATTTTTTAAGGAGATCTGCAATCTTCTCTAGAAAGTACTTAAATAATCACATAGCACAAGTGCTGTTTTTAAGAAAAATTTGGAAAAACTGTAACAAATTTCTCTCCCATTTCTAAAACAAGCATCTACAATCAGGCCTCATTTCACTCACTGCTTCTTCACAACTATTGTAAAGAGACTGCTAATGTCTTTACCTACTTATTGAGAAAACGGGTACAATGTTTTTTACTACGGCATATCCTGAAAACACATTTAAGTTTAAAAGAAAAGGAACTTGTAAGTCTAAAGCCATAAAAACACTATGACAATAATTAAGCAAGAACAACACACATTCAGAGAAGCCCACTGAAGTCAGAGGAACACATATAACAAAAGAGGATACGGAAGCCACTATTTTCACTGAACCTCAGTTTCCTGCATGTTGAAAATGGAGACAATAACCCCTACACATCACAGGTTTGCTGAAAAAATACATGAGATCACATACATAGAACCTTCCAGAAGAGCCTGACACGTGCCAGGAATTAAAATCCACTCTGAAGGCAGAAAGCAGTTTCCAGCAAGTATGCTGCAGAGAGGTTACAGATGTGCAGAGCTAGCGATTACCTCAGCCTTCAGGGAGGCTGGGGGGCCTCGGGCAGCTAGAGTCCTTTTCTCTCCAGCCAGAAGCAGCTTTTCCATTCACCCCAATATGTTATACAAACATACGTATGACCAAAAGGATAATAATTCTTGTGGCGAATTTTCCACATTTCTTATACTGACCTACATGGAGCCAAACAACCTGATCCCATTACCTCAGAGCTCATTCTATAACCTGGTCCTCCGCTACCTCACTCCAAACATTCTGGCCTCTCCCACCCCTACTGTCCCCGCCCCCCCAATCTGTCCCCTCCCCCGCACCTTGATGGACATTT